GGGGGTTTTAAATGCTTTCAATTTAATGGAGACTTAGGTTTTTTACCATAAAATTGAAGTTATGATAAAATTTGAATAATTAAATGTAAAAACAGAGTTTAGCATGAAGTTAAGTTAGTGGTTTTACCATAGAATTGAACTTAAACAAAGTTTGGTACGGACTTTTCTTATAATGGATGAAAAGGGTCAAAAGTATTTTGCTAATTTGGAGGAGAGATTTGTGTTTCTATATGACCAATTGAATGGCCAACTCATCTATTTATCATAAATCGTGTTTTCTCGACACCACGAGACTTTACTACATTAGTTGTACATAAAATAAGTTACTTCTGAGTTATTTATTTTATCAAATAAATTTGTTTAAGTTGCTTATTTCACCAAAAAAAAATTTGTTTCCAATAAGTAAAGTAATTTTTTTTTTATTTTTTTTTTAAAATTCATCTATACATGTTCCAAATCCTTAATGATTTTACATTAATTGAATTCACATTTAAATAAAACGAACACTATCAATAATTTGAACAACTATATATAGTTGAAACTTTATTTAGAGTTTACATAGATATCTATTTAGATAAAGATATTGGTAAATTTTAATAATTCGAGCCCTTTTTTAATAGCTCTCATGTACCCGCAATGCTTTTTGAACATATGGTTAATAGAACCGGTGGTCAATTGGCAAAGTTTCTTGGACATCTAGTGCTATCTCATCTAAACATGATTCTATAGATACATTTCAACTATAACTTTGAATAAAACACAGATGTGGGCCTGATTAGTTGATCTCTACGCTACTTCAAGACAACTACCGTTTGAGACGGATGGAGAGGGGGATTGGGTTGGGCTGTAGCCCCCCCCCCCCCCCCCCCCCCCCCCCCCCCCCCCCCTCCTTCTTTTTTTCCACATGTATACTTGAGAGATGGTAGTGAGAAATGGAAATCCGTGACTTATCAAAACAGTTTTTTTTTTTTTTTTTACTTGTAAAAAAATTTCACGTTGTAGTTCGACCTGAAATTTTGTAGTCCGATTTTGAATCCAATCCTGAATCCATCCCAAACTATTGTAACACTATTAGACAATACATATATGGTCGCAGGCTAGTTTGCGTGTTTTTCAACCATTATAAAGAAATACACTCTACTAAAACATATTTATCTCATTTTTCATAAAACATAGCAACACATCAATTTCAAGCAACCATAATATATTGAGCTTTAGTTACACTCAAACTTCCTCCATAAGCAACAATCAACCGTCCTGTTTGAGCCCCATTATTCTAAAACTTCATTTTTTAAAAACTCATTTTCAACCACTCATTCTTCAACAAACATAATATTAAACAAAATCGAAAAAATTTTCTCAATTTTTTACCACATTCTTCATCAATCACTATTTAAAAATACATTGTTTCCCTCAAAATGAGGCTCAAACAAGGTTTAATGTTTACTTACCAGATATTTTATGATAACAATAATTGTAATTTTATAACAGCACCTGAAATTCTTCCTCAAAGAGCTAAGCACTTATTGGAGTAAGATTGCAGCTTTCAAATCATCATGGAAAGTGGAAACCCTATCTTAATTAAAATAGAAATAATAGGCTTCCTCCTTCTAAATTCAATTTCTTTTAAAACTTTACCCATACCTACTTTGATGAGATCTTTACTCTTTTTTGATCAGCACACGAGTTGTGAGATGACAATACTATCGTAATTACGAGTCTCTTTTATATCCGCAACTCTTGTCATAGAATAAACTGAACAGAATTAAGAATTATGAGGAATAGAAAGAAATAAATTGTCCTTATTTTGTTTAATCCAATAAGAATGTGCTTAAGATTGCACACCTAGTTTGGTCCAAACAAATGATGATATTAAATTGTTTAGAATACTCAGAGGGATAAATTTGGTTGAAAGTATCGGTAATCAAATTCCTTGCTTTGGATAATGCTATAATTAAATGGTAACTTGTGCTTGCAAAAAAGGATATAATAATTTTGGAGTGAATTTCAACAAAATGATAATTGATTTTCATAAGAAACCACATTGCTTGATACTTTACATGGTGGAAATTGTTTACGTGATTACAATACTCAGTCATACTAAAGGCTATACAATACACATATCACATATATATACTATGAAGATAATTTTTGAAATTTTGAACTAGACAATAAAAAAAGAATAATTGCCACAATACCTCTCTAAGTTTGCATGTTTTATGAAATACCTCCTAACCTATCATTTTAGCAGAAAATCCCCTTAATCACCCAAACATTGCAAAAGACCCGATGCCATTTATATCTAATAGTTTATACATTTGAAAATAGTTCAAAGGGCCAAGATGAATAAAAAAATAAAATGACATTTTTGTCTCTTCAACTCCACATATTTACTTAAGATTGTGTTTGCTTAAAATAAGGAGAGGGGCCAACAGGCGTAATCAGCATAGCAACTTAATAATCTACCAAAAAATTCAAAATCAACACACAATGAGAAGTCTTTATTACACAAATTTTATCAAATTCAGGGTGTATTAAGCAAAGTTTATCGACTTCAGGGTTGATTTGCTCATGAACGTTTGTACAATTAACATGGTCTTCTTCTTTCTCGATACAGATACACGTCCCAATTTCTGTTAAGAAATGAAATTTCACATCAAATAAAAAATGAAAACATAGACCAATATATAAAGAATTGGACTACTCCTTTTGACAAGGTTGACCTTTTAAGATTGAACCCCAAAGCAATTCGATCCGATTAAGACTTAATAAATGAGTATACAAATTTCAAAATTGGTTTGCTCAAATGAGCCACCATCTTATAGGAGCATATTAAGGGATGAAATCCCACATCGAATAAAGATGAAAATATAGACCATTTCATAAAAAATTGGGCTACTCCTCTTAACAAAGTTGAGATTTTAAATGGAACTCCAAATCTTAACAATTTCAAGCCAACAGTGAACCAAGAAAACTCCCACTTATATGACATTAGAGCACTTCATGATACAACACTACATGAAAAATCGAATTATAACTTACTTTCACCCTTCACCACCGACATTAAAACAAAACCACAAAATAAACCAAACACCCAGTTTTTAAACAAACTAAAAACTCAGGTTCATTTCAATTTCCATTCTACATCTGCAAAAGATCCATTGCAAAGCGTTGAGTGGGGTGGGGTTTACTAAGAGAACTTTGATTATTTTAAGAACATAAAAAACTATTGTGAATTTGTGCTTGATTTTTATTATATATCTAGGACTTAAAAAATGGAGGAAGAGTTCTCAAAATTTGAAGTCTGTGATTGTTAGTCATCTGCAGGGTAAAGTGCAGATTCATACATTGTGAAGAACATCCATTTTGATTTATAGGGAAAGTGTATAATTTGTTTACTCCACCATGAATTTGTCTAAGATGCTCTTAAGTGAAGATGTGGATTTGAAAGATGGAAATACCATTTTGTTTATTCATTTGGCACCCTGACCTCTTTTTAACGGATAAACTAATAGATTGTAGGGAGTCTTTCGCAAAGTTTGGATGATTTAGGGGGATTTGCGTCAAAATAAAATATTAGAGTAGTACTCCACAAAACAGGCAAATTTTAGGAAAGTATTGCATCAATTACTCATTAAAAAAAAAATCCACGTTAGATATTTCTCTACAACTCTTAACTACCAGTGATTTTATTTTTTATTTTTTATTTTTTATTTTTTTATATCTGTCCACAAAAAACCTTTCTTCCGTGACATCTACCTGTGTGAATATACATGTGATACCTATTAAAGAATCTGCACTTTCAATGTCATCCTTTCTCAAATAATTGTTAGAAGATAAGAGAAGTTGTAAGAAACGAGTTGCTTTGGTCTCGTCTGATCAGATCAAAGAAGGTATTAATGTTAAATTATGCTATGCAAACATGCTCAAGAATAGGATAAAAAAGAAGGGAGATATGTGTCGACACATGATTGGACAGTTTGAAAAAAAAAAAAACATCCAATCGTGCAGCCAAGTCAGTCTGTCCATTTTTGACCTCTTTCTGAACCCATCCAAGTAGCATTATTCATTAATCTGTGACAAGAAAATTTTAATACAATTATTTGATCTGTTGATTTTTTAATTCTCATTCACAATTTTGTGAAATATAATTGTAAATTAGTGTAGGACAAAACAAGATTTGGGAGAAATATTGGTAATGAGTGGCCATCCTCTAACATTATAAAATAGTATGACTTGTATGAGGTTGAAATGTTTGTCAAGATGGATAAGAGTTATGAATTATTAGCCAGTCCAACAAGGTTTTGAGACGTTTTACTTGAAATGTATGTAAGACTTAAACTCGATCCTAAACAAGTATGCGGAAACAAATTGGATCGAGAAATCAAAAATCTTGCGGATCGAAAATCGTACCTTCGGCCATTGATGTGTCTCAAAAAGCTTCT